AGCCTATTTAATAAAATATATTATATTACTATTTTTATAGATAACTAAACTATTATCTAAGCTTACTATAGGCTAAAGAGGAGCTCTAGCTAATATATATTAAAGGATATAGCTAATAAGGTTAGATAACTCTATTAAAAAATATAGTTTATAATAATTTATTAGGTTCTTGGCTATAAGGATATTAAAGTAATAGATTATATAGTAAAATTAGCTAATATAAATCCTTTTTTTATTAAAGAGAAGACTAATCTTTATATACTATTAATAGCTTGAGGTATAGGCTCTATAATTGGGCTCAGAAAATTAGGGAAAAGGGGGTTCAAATCTACCTAGATTGGGTCCCTGGTCATATGGGTATATATGGGAATGCTAAAGCTGATGAATGTGCTAAATATGGAGCTGATTGGTCAGAAAAAGACCCTAAGACCTTTCTATCTCTTAGCTTCCTTTTCAGGAAGCTAAAAGTAAAGGCCTTAGAAGAATGGCAAGATATATGGTGTAAAGCCAAGACTAGTGACCACTATAAGCAATTTAAAATGCAACCTAAATGGAAGCCAAGCCAGTTAAAGTTGACTAAACAACTATGGTCATCTATTATCCAATTAAAGCTAGGCCATGGGTACTTTAGGTCATACTTAGTCAGGCTACCTGCATATAATAGTGGAACCTGTAATCTATGCCAAACCAATCAGGAGCAAACCCCATATCACCTATTATTCCATTGCCCAGCCTATAGGGATATCAGATATAGAGCTTTCTCTAGGGTAGATAGAAAAGATTATAATCTTTTCTATGTATTCTCCAAAGAGGGTCAGGGAGCTTTAGTTCAGTTCCTAAAAGAATCAAAAATAGCTACTAGGAAATGGCACCTAGGAGCTAATGACTAAGTGAGTCAAGCCCTACTATACTAAGCTCTATAGATCTACTAGTAGAACCCTACTAGTCTAATCTATAGTGCCTGAGCTTGCTAAGCATAGATTACCTAATCATGCTTACTAGGCTACCTCCCCTATCTTATTGACTACCCCCTTCCTTTTTCTTTCTCAAACCCATGTATACCCACCACTCCTTAACTTTCTATTTCTTTATATTATACTACTGCCTAACTGCCTTTTATTTCCTATTTCTGCCGCTCATAGAAGGTTCCCACTGTTGACTGGTCTATAGCATAACCCACCTGTATATAGATATTAGCCACTAAGCCCTACTGCCTAGGTGGTAGGCAGAGCGTGCATAGTCTCTGACTGAAAAACGCCCTCTAAAATGGAAGAATAATAATAATAATATAATTGCTCTTTTACTTTCTTTCTTCCTTTACTTATCTGGTTGCTATTTATAGTTCATTAGATACTTATAGATATTTTAATAAAATTATGAATTATTAAAAAATTATTTTATTAAACTTTATATAATATTTATACTAAAATAAGTATAGTATAAATTAATTTATTTTATTTTAACTTTTATTAATTATATATGATTATAATATATTTTATATAAAATATTAAGTTCTTTATTAATATCATAATATTTTAATTATTATAATATACCTAAGGGATAAAAGTTTCTATTAAAACCTATTTTCTTATAAAGTTAAATATCTAATAGCGTTATTTTTAATAAAATTATATAATAAGGCTATTAATAAAATATATATTTAATTAAAAAATTAGTAAATCTATTTTTTATACAATTTTATTAAGAAATAAAGCCGTAAAATATTGAAGTTTTATACGAAAATAAGGTTATAGTAAGAATTTTTATCCTAATACTATATAAAGCTATAAGATTAAATATAAGCTTATATAAATTAAGGTTAAGGTTAATATATTTAATAACTATTTTATTTTTAGGCTTTTATCTGAAATAATTAAATAAATATTAAAGCTAAATAGCCTTTAATAATTAAATATATTTTAGATTAAAAATATAGCTTAAATTATTATATAAGAACCTCTTTTATTTAGTTATATATTTATATATAGGTTTAGACTCTTTTATAAATATAAACAATATCTAAAATATCCTTAAAATAAAAAGGACTTAATTATCAATTATTTTAGAATAATAATAAATTATTAAGTTTTAATAAATGACTTAAATTTATAAAAATTAAAATTTTAAATTTTTAAGTGTATTTAATATAAAATATTAAATCCTTAGTAATTATAACTTATATACTATCTCATTAGGCTAATAAAATTAGCTTAAGTTATTTTTTCAGTTTAATTATTTAATATATATTTTATTAGGTCCTTATTTTATATTAAAAAAGTATTAAACTTTATTAAATAGATTTTTTAATAAATAATAACTTATCTTTATTTAAAAAATAATATAATATTAATAATTATTATATTTTTTAATTAAAAAGACTATAAATATTAATATAAATTAGCTTAGAAAGGTATTGCGGACTTGGCCACCTTCTTGATGTTGGGCTTGAACCCGGGCGTCTTCTTGTGCTCGCAGTTGGTGCAGAACGTGAGCGTGACCTGGTTCCTGAACTTCTCCGGATTCTCCTTCGTGTGCTCGATGAGCCACGCCTTGTCGTACATGTCCTCGTACGTGGCTCCGTTCCTCTTCGCGTCGTCGTACGAGGGGCACGAGCTGCCCTTGTTCGGGGTCACCTGCGCGCAGGCGAGGCACAACCTGATCACGTTGTTGCACATCGTCGTGTTCGTGTTCAAGCCGCTGCTCGTGTTCGTGTTCGAGTTCGTCTTCGTGTATGTGCTCGGGTGCTTCTTCAACTTGTTCCTTGTTTTGGCAGAGCAACGATCAAGAACGGCACGAACAACCTCGTCTAGTCCGACGCCCAGTCCAAGACGTCCGTGTCCGTTCGTCTGTCCGACCAGGTCCATGACCGTGAAGCCGGTCGCGGACGCGTCGTTCCTCTCCGCCTCGGGGGCGCTCGTGAGGAAGCTCATCGCCGCGTTCAGGTCCGTCATCTTCGTCGTGATCAGGTTCGTGACCGCGTTCAGGAACAAGTCGAGTAGATCCTCGGGGGCTTCGTCAACGAGTAACCTCGTCATCTGCGAGATCGCGTTCCCCTTCATGACCCCGAAGATGATGTCGTCCCTGTACTCGTACCACTGGAAGCTCGCGTTGACGATCGGGTCCTCGAGCACGCCCACGCCCAAGGACAAGAAGCAGGGCGCGAGGAAGTTCTCGCAGATGATGAAGGAGAGGAAGGCGAGCGAGGAGGAGGAGAAGCCCCCGGGCAGCGCCCCCACCGACTTCACGACCATGACCATGAACGCGCAGCCGGGGCAGAACGTCAGGGCCCGAACAACCAGACGCTCGTGCTGAGCGGCAAGCTCGTGGGCTTCAACGCGAACGAGCCCAAGTGGACCCAGGAGGAGCTCCGCGAGTTCGCCGCCATCTGCTCGTACAGGATCCCGACCATCTCGATCAGCGAGAGCAGGAAGACGATGCCGGACCCGAACCAGCACTACGTCGTGAGGCGGCCGGACGGCTCGGGCGCGGCGACGCAGGCGGCCATGTTGCCGAACCTGAAGCTGACCGAGTTCGTGCTCGGGATCGGGCCCACGAAGCCGGACATGAAGCTGCCCAAGAAGAGGATGTACTCCGACGTCGTGATCGTGGGCAAGGACCGCGACTGGATCCTGACGCAGTGGCTGTCCAAGGACGTGATCATGGAGCCGGTCCCGAGCACTGTCAGGAACAAGCAGGAGCAGGCGAAGAACAGGCAGAGCAAGCGCACGATCAGCGTCAACTTCGCGAGGTTCGGGCTGCCCATCAGGTCGTTCGGAGCCGTCTTCAACACCCTCAACCAGAACATCGGGGGGCTGATGGACTCGCTCGTGATCACAGACGGCTACTACTGGAT